CAAAAATTCTTCTTACTTTTTAACCACACATTCATCACATCAATCACTATTTCAGAATTTATTTTTCTCAAGCCACCATCATAGCAATCCTACAAGTAGATCTGTCGTGTGAATTCAGCATCGAACTATTATTATCCAGTACGTGTTAAAATGCTAAGTAGGATCAATTAGAACCCAATTCATTAAGCACCTGTTTGGTATCCATTATTTCAAAAATTTCAACTTTATCTCTCTTTTAATTTCAACCTCACATTTTTTTTTATAAAATAATATTACACGCAGATTCAAAATTTTTCCTTATTTTTTAACAACACATTCTCCATCAAATCACTATTTCAAAATGCATTTAAAAAAAAAATGGGGCTCAAACATAATCTAAATGAATCCGATCCAATCAACCTCCCGTGTCATTGAGGATAAGAGATGTAGTTTTATAAGTGAATGCAAAGACACGTGAAAATAATGCACTAAAATAGATCATCGGACTTTGAGTTATGGTTGTGTATGGCCAAGTAACGTGGGACAAGACGCAAATAAGAAAACAAGTCATGTTCTAGCTCATACGAGAACATTACCTCATGCTAAAGCCGAGATGATAAGACGAAGATCCAACTTTCAAAACAGCTGCTCGGCTAATCTACGGTAAATTACCATTTTGCGGAGAACTAAAATCAAAAGGCAAGCATCCCAGGAAGTGTACGGTGACAAGATGTAAGTGCCAACCTAGCAATAACATAACAAGAAAGATTGTCATTTGAGTTCGACCACTAGTCCGTACATCTACAAAAAGCGTGGTCTAAGATTAAAAAATTTGACTAATGCTAGTTACAATTGTCGAAATTTTTAGGATATTTTATACGTGTGAATTGGAAAAGATTTCAATTGATGCGATGACGAATCGCGATTCTTTAATTGCAAATGGTGCGAATTAAAGAGTCCTATTATTTCAGAATGTGTGTAACTTTTCAAAAAGGTGTAGATGAAATGTCGTAATCTTTCGATAATATGTAATTTACACCATTAAAAATGAAATAGTTCGATCTAATGATTAAAATTAATTTTGCTAATAAATGCGATAGTTAGGAAGACACGTGAAAATTTATAAATAGAATCCTCCTAATTCTATTTTCTTAATTCAAAATCAATTCCATATAATTGGTTTCTAAATCATTCATTCTCTAAATTATGTCAAAATAATTTTCAAATTATTTTCAAGTTTCGTGTTCGATATTAGTATTTGATATTTTTCGTTCTAGAAGAGTACGGTCAATCGTTGGTTCCCTCGACAAAATTAATATTGTGCTATATTATTTTGGAATAAGCGCTATATCTGGGGAGACGAATATCCATTTGATCATGTTAGTATCAGTGCAGGGGCGAAAACTGTCTTAAAAGAGATTTGTATCTGCATACTTCGCTTCATTTTATCCCCTTCGAATTTCTGCATTTTTTACGCTTGAGTAAGTCGTGATTTGCTTATTACTATGTATGCACCATATGTTCGATAAATCGTTACTCTATTTATATTTGCATGCACATGTATTTTATTAACGGCATATAAAGTATACACCAATTTTCCCAACAACACTGACTACTCGAGCTACCAAACCGAAGGCGTAAATTGACTCTTCCATTTCTATAAATACGACCTACCTCCAATAACAAAAGACAAGGGCGTTATGACATTTGTCGGGCAAAATTAACGGGGAATCGTTAGGCTCGATTTTTGCTTGTTTTCAGATTAAATGTCTCATGAAGCACTTATCGATATCATCTACAACTAAAAAGAAAAAATCAAGATAACAAAAGTTGTAAAAAAACCTTTAGGGTCTATTTGGAAGTTTTGAGGTGCTGGTTATGGAGTTTTTGAAATTATCGTTTTTGGGTGGCTATGAAGGATTCGATTTTTTGTGGTTTTAGTAGTGATTTTCAAAATAATCCAATTCATGCTCGAGATTTTATTATTTAGCATTTTTGAAAGTTTTTTAGAAGAATAAAATTAGAAATATGTTCCTTAGTAAATTTTTTCAATTATAATTTCTCATATGAAACCTTTTTATTCATAAATAATATTTTACCTATAAATAATTTATGTATATAAGTTAATTTTAACTTAAAAAGTAAAATATTTACTTATAATTAGATTTTTAAGTTATAAGTATTTTTTACTTATAAGTAAATTTTACAGTGATAGTTAATTTTGTACTTTTAAATAATCTCTTACATATAAATGATTTTTTACTTATAAGTAACATTTTATATTTTATGAATGATCTTTTATCTTATTAGGCCATGTTTGAGCCAAATTATTGTAGAATGAGAATGAAAAATATAGCCTTTATTGGGGGCCACTTAAGAGATAGAAAATTTGAATTTAAATGTTGATGTGATGGATAACGGTCATATTTTTCATTCTCATTTTACAATAATTTGGTTCAAACATGGTCTTAATAGTATTTTCACTTTATAAGAAATTTTTATACTAAAGTGAATTATATTTGATAAGTATTTTTTATTTATTTATAAGTAAATTAGGTAATTATAAAATATTTTTTTGTTTATAAATAAATTTCTTAGTTATTGCATTGTTATTTACGAGTTGATTTTGAACTGAACGCGTGGGTTGTAAATAATTATTTTATAAATAATATAACTGGAAGAGAATTTGGGAAATGGTCAAAACCAACTGATTTAGTAGACTGAAAAATAAGATCAAATTTGTATTATACCGATTTTGGGTGATTTTAAAACCACTCAAAATTAGTACTCAGAAAGATTAACAATCATCAATTACCTCTCGTATACATTGCCACCTAAAACGGTCAAAACCTTGAAAAAGAAACTTCCGAGCATGACCTTAGAGAAATATAGGCCCTTATTTGAGCCCCATTTAGGGGAAAAATTAATTTTTGAATAATAATTTTTTAGAAAATGCGTGGTTAAGAAAAAAAAGTTTTCGATTTATGTGTAAAATTATTTTATTGGAGAATATGTGGTTGGAAATGAGTTTTTGAAAAAAATTGAACTCAAACAACTTCACAATGATCAATTCTATTTTCATTTAAAGATCATCAAATTTAACTCATGTTTAGTCGTTAATTAAGATCAGATTTTTAATAAATATTGATGAAAGTTGATGAAAATGTGTTGCTGAAAAGTGTGGGTCCTATGAAATATATGATTAAATTTTAACTTTGATTTATATTAAAATTTAGATGTTAGTTTCTACTAAGCAGGGGCTTGATTCATTATTTGACTAATCTTTTCATTTACACACTCAAACTTAACCGTAAATCATGATAAATCCGAATATTACCGAGCCTAAATTGGTTTAAATCGCACAAGAGTGATCTAAAAAATGAAATTCAATAACATCATTAAATTGAAATTTGAAGTAAGAACTCATATTTTATTAAAAAAGATTAAAGGTTCGAAAGGAAAAAATTTGGACTTGTGTATAATATTATTTTATTAAAAAATGTATGATTATATATAAGACAAATAAAAATGTATTTTAAAAACAATGGGTACTGATGCTACCAAAAATCGTACATATTAATTTTTCGAGTTGACAACACGGTGTGAACAGGAACATGATCTCCAAGAGCAGAAACAAATGTGTCAATGATCTGCACCCGATGATACTCGAGCTTAACGATTGAGAATGAGTATGAACATAATTTACAAGACCTAAAACAAAGGCAACGGGGCATGACTTCATCGCCCTTTCCGATGCTTTAGTTAGCAAGACGGAAAAATATAAGCGTAAGACTATAAATTGAATGTAAAAACGTACGTGAATAATGATCCAAATGTTTGTATTTATAAAGACATGTAATACATTCTTGGCAGAATTAAGTAGTGCACTCATAGTAGGATAAATCAGTTGAGCACCTCATCTGATTAAAGAGATATGAAGTGCTCGGGTGTCTTTCCACACTTAGGAGTTGTAATTTGATTGAAGTTGTAAGATAAGGTATTTGGATAGGCACAACCTGATAGAATGAGAGGGAAAATGATAGTGAAGGACACGAGATGTCCAAGGGCTTCAAGTCCGAGCTCAAGCTCACTTATACGAGCCCGAGGATGTTCTAGCCCAGAGAGAGAACTTGAGGTCATGATGACCTTGAGCCCGGCCACGTAAACTTGAGGATGTTCTGACCTTAGGAGAGTGTTCGAGATTATCACGACCTCGAGCATGAGGTCGTGGGTGGTTGGATCATACAAAAATTGTACACATCATGCACCAAACAAAAGCTTAATTTTATTATAAAAAAGCTCTATTGTTACTGAAGTGGCATTTAACTTATTTTTTAGCCTCATTTTTTCCGAACTAGGGTCTATTCTTTTTGCCGTTTTCAGACAATTTTCAGTTTTCGAAAATACTGAAAATACGTTTATTTACCTATTTTTAAAAACGAATTTTCAAAAACAAGTTTAAAATTTACAAAGAAAACGGAAAATGCCAAAAAAGTCGTTTTGACTGTTTTCAGTTAAAACCAAACTAAAATTTCATTTTTTATTTTTGAAAACAATTTTTCAAAATGACAAAAAGAACGTGTTTTCAACAATCTCAAAATGGACACTCAAAACACAAAACTCAAAATGAATTCAAAACTAAAAATTGAAACACGAAGAGAACAACCCCTGACTAATCCAACTCAGCGTAATGAACGCTATCACGTGCCACTGCCTTATCAAATTTTGAAACACAATCATGAGAGCGAGTTCTCACTCCATTTCGGGCGCTAATTTTTTGTGAACCCAATTGTCCAAAGGTGTCTCTTTATAAAATCACTCATCCTAATACGATGTCGTACTTAAATATAATTTATCATTTAAATTTAAAATTAAATTTTCAACCTATATTGCCAAAAAGCCAAAAATTTAAAGCCACAATTCAGTCACCTCACCTTACCAAGGCAAGGCGGAGAAGAGAGTACATTTGATTTCGGGAGGTGGGAAGAGTTGTGTGGATATCTATTTTGTTTTGTTTGAGGATGGGGGAGCAGAAGGGAAGATGGAATTGGGAGGTGACCGGATTTGAGCCCAGGAAATTGGTGGAGCGTGATGATTATCAGAAGGCGTCAGTGGCGCCGGTGGTGCGTCGCTACTCGATGTCCGTGTCGTCGGCTTCTGAGCTCACGAAGCAGGGCTTTAACTCTAAGCTCCAGAAATTGAAGGACAAAGTCAAGGTCCCATTTTTTGCTTTAACTTTTTTTTTTATTTTCCCCTCTCTTTACATGTTTTTGAAACAGTGAGATAACTATTTTATTTTACTTCATCTGTATGTTTTGAAGACAATGCATTTTAAATGATTTGTTCATTTGAATCTGGTGAAGTAAATCTTTCTGGGTATATATGGTATGCGGACACACGAATTTAGGATAATGTGTTTATGGTTATATAAGTTGAAGTTGTTTGCTTGTGAGACTTAATTTTGATATATAAGTGGATATGGTTGAAATTTCAATAAAAAGAAATCACTTATATCATCTGTTCAATTGTGGTGACATTTGAAAGATGCTTTCAATTTTCTTGGTGGTACCTAAAACTCGGTTCTTGTGGAATTGAATTTTGAAGTGACTGTAATGTTCATATCCACGGTGGGATATTTCTTCCCACTAGTTGTGGTTTCTGGAGATGCATGGAATCATGGGAATGTTGGCATCCAGTACTCGGTGGAATATTTGGAAATTCACACTTGTTGGGGTTTCTGGTGAATTGGAAATATAGTCATGGGAATGTTGAAATCCAGTTTGGTGCTGAGAATTACTGGAAAACTTTGAAACTCTTTACTATGGAGTTTAAGAGTATTCTAGCTGGCAGTTGCCAACTCTTAACGGTGAAGAAAGAATTTACTATAATATTCATGTCTTCATCGAGTTAAAGGGCACAGTTCAGAGTTTTACTTGCACCTGAACAAAAAGAATGCCCACCATAATTATTGGTGGAAACTAGATTTAGGGCTAGTAAAGCATCAGTTTCGGCTGTAGTTTTTTTTTTTTGAGGCATTGTTTGAGTTGAACTACTTTTAATACTAGTGCGAAAAAGACTGGTCTTCACCAAACTCTTGCAAGAGGTTTGAGATAAAACAATTAATGAAGTGGATCTGTAATTAGCTTTCACCATGCATAGGAACTTTCCGAAGGGGCTTTTCGTACTATACAAAAAATTGCTCATTCAGATTTTGTACTTGACCCTCTCTCCATGTTGTGAAATTGGCTCTATATGCTACGACATAAGCTTTCTAGGATATGTTTCCTCTATTGAGAAACGAGTTGAGTATTATATATAAGGAATACGAACCATTATTTTCCAATGAAGGCATCTAATCTCTGGTAAAAATAATCCTAATATGTGCAATAAATGCCTATATTTATTCTGAAATTCTGCTAATATGACAAACATAAAGATTTGATCTTTAATTATTTTGTGGTTGATTACTTGGAAAAGAAAACTTCAAGTTTTTACTCATGATTTCATTTATGGAAAGCAAACTTTCAGAATTAATGGAAACTTTTCGACAAAGATAGATATATAATCTGGAAAGCAAGGATGGAAACGAAGCATTCACAATTCCAAATGTTTTCCAAGAACCGGTTCTTATCTTCCATATCGGCATTGTATTTTGTGAACTGGATGGATGACAAATACCCCCGAGACACAAAATTCCAGGGTTTTCTGGACGAGTTTCTCATGTTCCTTTTGGAATCCCTTCCATTTGTGTCTGGTCATGTGTTACTCAACCCTTTTCCACAAAGAAGATTGTTCTAGGGGAACTTTTTAAAGGCTTAAAGCCATTTTTCTATCAAAGATACTTTTCAATCTAAAACTACTGACCACCTAAACTCTGCTACTTTTACTTCTACTTATCTTTTCTCAAGCAACCAAGCGATTCTTATTGCTGTCTTCCTCACCATCTTACATATTTTTTTATAAGTAGCAACTACCTTGCCTGGCATAAAAAACTTCAACATATGAATATAGGATGCTGCAAAATACTACTGAATAAGGGTTAATCTACCTCCTCCAGACTGAAAAGATTTCTTCCACCCATCTGGCCTTATCTCAACCCTCCGGTTTATCAGGGACCAATGTTCTAAGGATAATTACCTCCCATAGAAATTTCGAGTATTTTAAAGGTCAATAGACACACAAGTAAATGCCTTTCAAAATTTCTAGAAGATTATAGAACCAGTCCTTGGGAGCATTCAAGAAAAAACAGTGTGCTGTCCCCTCACTGTAACATAGATTCATTGTCTCTCTATTTCAAATCTTCTAGCAAAGACACTTCTCTCGCCCCTTCCAGTAAACTACGTAAAACGCCGGCACTAACATAAACAAAAGCAGCAACAAAGGGTCACCTTGCTCGAACCATCTAAAGCCAAGTATTAATGACCGTATATACATCTGAAGCCAAGTAAATAATCTGTTAAAAGGTATTATATTATGTCCACTGTGATATAGAAACATGATAAGTTCTTCAAAGGACTTGGAAGTTGAAATATAGGCTAAAAATAAAAATGAGAATTGAGAAAGAAGAAAATTGCATTTGAACATATTCAGTAAACATCATGCAGATTCACTTTGTGATAAATATGCTGATTTATTTTCCCCTATCTGTAGTTTTATAAGAGCATGTATGGCTATTATCCATAAATATTATTTCCTCTTAAATTGAATCTTATTTAATTTCTTCGGACAGATTGTCAAGGAAGATTACATGGACTTGAGACAAGAAGCTACCGATCTTCAAGAATATTCCAATGCTAAACTTGATCGCGTGACACGATACCTCGGTGTACTTGCTGATAAGACCCGTAAGCTAGGTAAACAAATTAGTTTGGCTTTAGGATTGGGGTAGACGTACAAGATTTTTTGGTTTATTTTGTTGGACTGATTCTTTATCAGTTACTAGTTAAATTTTACAAAGATGATCTCATGGTTTTAATCATTTTCATGCCTCTTCTTCCATTGTTTCATTTTCCCATTTGTTCCCTCGTGAATTTCTCTCTTTCACATTCAGTAACAGTAACTGTATCGAATATGATACTGAAGGGATCTTTTCTTGCACCATGGAAAACTTTTTTCTTCATGTCACACTCGACTTCTTGGCTTAGATCTCTAAACTAACAGTTATGACGTGGTCACACATTACGAATTTCCCAACGATTTAGACGCTGTATATTTGTTTAAGAAAATGTTTTACTGGATACATATTTCATCTACTTTCAGATCAGGCTGCCCTTGAAACAGAGTCTAGAATATCCCCTCTGATATCTGAGAAGAAAAAGTTATTTAATGACTTGTTGACTGCCAAAGGTACTGAATGGTTCTCCAAGTTCTCTTTGCCTTTCTATTGTCACTATATCTAAAACTCTAACAGAGATGCAAGCTGTCTCAAAGGGCTTCTCATTCTTATGTTATATGAAACCCATGTTTAACAATGACAGGAAACATAAAGGTGTTTTGTCGTGCAAGACCGCTTTTTGAAGATGAAGGTCCATCTGTTGTTGAATTTCCTGATGATTGTACACTTAGTGTAAATACTGGTGATGATAGCCTCTCCAATCCGAAGAAGGATTTTGAGTTTGACAGGGTTTATGGACCTCATGTTGGACAAGGTGGAACTTCTATCCTTCATTTTCTCCGTGTCAGGAGATCCTGGAACTGTACTAACTTTATGTGACTTCACCATATGCAGCCGATCTCTTCAGCGATATTCAGCCTTTTGTTCAGTCAGCATTTGATGGATATAATGTCACTATATTTGCATATGGACAAACCCACTCAGGAAAGACACATACTATGGTCTCTATCTCTCTCTCTCTCTCTCTCTCTATATATATATATATATATATATATATATATATATATATCTCTCCTNTCTGTTTTATTGTTGATTTTTATTAATTGTGTTTTTATTATTATTGGACTTGTAGTAGTGTGTTGGCCCAAACCCGTCACTAGTAGATTTCTTTTTTTTTTTTACTATTTATTGGATTTTTCATTGTTGTTGAATTAATTATTGATTGAGTAAAACTACGATTGGCGGCTGTCACGTCTTCTCCTTCTCCTTTTCGTTCACTGTTTCTTCCTTTTTCCCGTTTCTTCTTCTTCCTCCTCTTGTTTCTCTGTTGTGAAATTAATTCTCCACTGATTCTACATCATAGTATCACTTCATAATTTGCTCGTTGCAGGCATCTATAAACCTTTTTTTTTTCAACGTGATGTATAAACTTTTCCCCATATTCTGTAAAACCAGTTTTTCAATGAGTTATAATGAAAATACACAATGATGTACAATCTGTATTGTGCCATTTGACTACATTGATTATCTATATGATAAAGTATATCCTATGTAACAAGTATATGCCCATTAGAGCTGTACTTTTATATAGTAATATTATATGTGATATATAAAATATTACCTATATATAACAGTACAAGAACGTGAATGTTGGAGCTGTTTGGTTTGATCATTCTATATTTCTCTTGATATTTCCACTCTTTTGCAGGAAGGGTCTAGCCATGACCGTGGTTTATATGCTCGATCTTTTGAGGAGCTTTTTGATTTATCAAACTCAGATGCTACTTCAACATCTCGATATAATTTCTCAGTTTCTGTCTTTGAGCTTTATAACGAGCAGGTTACTTGCTTTCTATGTATAAAATGTTAAATGCCACGCTTCACCCTCCATCTGGCATGTGTTTCGTGTTTGTATAAATGAAATATATACAATTCTGATGTTGGACCTCGTTAATGTGATTGTAGATAAGTGATTTGCTTTTGGAATCTGGAAATGGGCTACCTAATATACGTGTTGGGTCATCAGACTATGTTGTAGAACTTGTGCAAGAAAAAGTTGAGAATCCTATGGATTTCTCCAGAAGTCTCAAAACAGCATTTCAGAATCGAGGAACTGATATATTGAAGTTTAACGTCTCTCATCTGTATGATCTATGTTGATGTTTCTGCCATATAATCTTGAGACTTATTCTGCTTATGCATTTGTTATTTAATCAGTTAACTTTATTCTTGTGCAATCCATGTGGGATTTATTTTATTTTACACTCTTGTCAGTTTTTCATATGGTTAAGTGAATACATGTCCCCCTCTGCAAGACCTGTGACCTCAAATCAATTATATATAAGCATAAGGCTGTTTATAAATTTAGGAGCTGTTGCAGTTGCAGTTGCAGCTAGTATTGTGTAGAACAGCTTTAGAAAGATCTCATAGGGCCTCATAAATGGATTTTGTGGCCTAAGGTTGGCTGGTTAATTAATAGATTAACAGCATGTTTGTCTAAGCCTAAAAAGGAAATAAAATTTTGTTTTTGGAAATTAAGTAAAGTCTAACTTTTGGGAAAAAAAGTTTCTTAAAACTAGTTAGAGTTAACTTTTAAGCTGAGCATATGTTTGGTTAAGCTTAAAAGTTACTTTTGAGTATTTATTACTTTATATTTAGGATTAACCAAACATGCTCTAAGCATTCCAAAGCCAGTTAAGCAAGTTTATGTGGCTATCTTGTGTGCTAGTAACATCATCCAGTAACATCAATTTTAATGGAATCGGCACCGTTCTAATTTAATATGTAATTTGGATGTAATGGCCAATATAATATGTTGAAAAATGGAAAAATTTAGTGCTAGATTTGCAGGAATCACAAATAGATTACGAATAAAAAAATGCACTCCACACTTGCAAAGGTTATCAAATTCGCATTATTCAACTTTATTATTTATAGTTAATAGCAGTGCGATTTGGAAGCTCTTAACTAATAGATTTTATGACCAATTATAGATTACTAATGACTGCAAAAAATTTCGAAGTAAAAAAATGTTGTAATGCTCATCGATCAAAAAAGATGCAACCATGTCTTTTTGTGTTAGGACCATTACTAAATACTCAGACTCCTGAAATACAAGAAAGCTTAAAAACTCAAATTTCAGAAAAAAATTAAACAACAAAAACTCTCGGCCTAAACATCATAAAAAATATTGTTTACAGCCCTTTCCTCTGTAAAACACCAAATTTGCATGAATTTTAAGTACACATTTTGCATCATTCTGGAGTGATGAAATTATATGTTGTAAAGCAGTATCCATTTGAGGTTGCAATAATATCTGCAATTCCTTTTGACTAAATCATTTGAGAGGTTGTGACTACTAATCCATTTTGATCGATTCTGTGCAAAAAATTGATTTGAAGTTAAATCACGTGAAATTCTTAAGAGAATTATACACAACTTGCTTATAGATAGGCCTCAAAGTGGTTCTTAAGGACAGAAAACTGGATAAATTGCTCTGAAGTGCGCAAATGTCTTATAATTTGTTCTTGTTTTATTACATCACGTTTTTGAGTAGGTCATTGTCGCTTTTTTCCTGTCAGAGTAAATCATTGATAGTGGGTAGAACTACCCAAGAAATGGGAAATTGCTTTATATTTCACGAATAGGTTGAAGATTTATGGTTATGGTAATAGTGTTTGGGACATGTGTCTTTATACTCACGTCTTGTTCTTCTGTGCTTTTTCAAAAGGCAGATTATTCTCAGTTCTTTTATTCTGCTGAGGTTTTATTAATCTATTTGCTTATTTATTTTTCTTTTCAGTATTGTGATGATACATATATACTATAACAACTTGATCACGGGTGAGAATTTATATAGCAAGCTTTCTCTTGTTGATTTGGCTGGAAGTGAAAGTTCAATTGTAGAAGAAGAAACTGGAGAGCGTGCAGCAGAGTTTCTGCATGTTTTGAAATCGCTCTCAGCGTAAGTCGTGCATTTATTTCTGTAATCATCTTTAACAACAACGTTCTCATCTTATATTTTCCTCCTCTTTTGATGGGTTGCCTAATTTCATGTTGTTACTTTCCGATTTAAGTTGATAATACACTTCCTGTGTATTATGCACTGATTAATAAAATATTTGATTACCTTTCAAAAAAAAAAAAAAATTTCCTCCTCTTTTACACTTTGATGGAAATTTGATTTTCCTTTTCTTTAATGTGGACATCTTGAATTCTAAAAGAGTTCTTATGTTTAATCATAGCAGTTTTTCATTCTTTTGTAGACTATACAGTTATTTATCATAGTTTTGTAGACTATACAGTTATTTATCATAGTTGGATAACATATTAATAGTTCTAAGTCACATATTGTTTGTTTGTATGGTGCCGCTGCTGTTGTGTCTTTTTTCCCAATTTTTTATCCGCTTCCATGCACATGATAGTATTTGTTTATGGAAACCAGTTAAACGGATACTATTTCAACATTTGCATTTGACTATGATGATAATGGAAGTAAATTTTTGAGTAGATTATTTTGATCATCAAGATTGCTACATTTTTCAAATTTATCTTTGTCATCCATTACAAGCTATGGAGTATTGTACATGCAGATTGGGAGATGTTTTGGCATCCTTAACTTCTAGGAAGGATAACATTCCTTATGGGAATTCAGCACTAACACAAGTTCTTGCAGATTCACTAGGTATTGATGCCTCTGTTATTTAAATTTGCCTCTGAATAATTGTTGCTATATTGGTATTTCGAGGACTTTATATTTGTGCCAATCTGCAATTGTATTTTCCTCAATTGGATATAATGCAATTCTTAGTTCTCTTCTGGTTATTTAACTTTTGTATACTTGAACAAAAGTCTGTACTACCGCTGCTAAAATTATGCCACTTACAGTGCTCACATTTTTATGTAGATACAGTCATTGGAGCGACTTGTTCTTTTCTTTCTTCCTCTACTTTTTCCCAAATTAAATGTCCTCTTGGGTGATATTGAATGTCTTTTTTATATGATATTTGAAAATACTGCTGATACAATATTCTACTAGGAGAATGCTACTACTTGAGAGTTGAAACTTAGATTACTAACCACATCAATACTATATGCTACTTCCAGAAAGTAAAATAAAGAGAAAATACAAGTTGCATTTGGGAAAATGAGACATTTTAGTCGGTGCAGAGACTATTTACAGGAAATTTTGAATGTGTTACGAGTGTAAAAGGTATGGATCTCGAAGGACCGATCCTAGCAACTTTTTAACAGGCTACACTAATTATCGAATCCTAATAATTTTTTATATCCTAGTTGACTGGTACATGAAATTATTTAGTGCCTCAACTTCTAAGTGCTATCATACTTCTGTATTGCTATGCAAGAATTTGAGGTTCTCAGGAAAAATCCCCTCAGTTGAAGAGACTGACAAGAAAGAATGGGATAATATACAAAGAAGCAAAAGAAATAGAATCAAAATAATTTCTTGATCTCAGACACCAAACAATGTGGAGCGGGGATAAATCGAATGGGAAAACAGGATTTATTATCTCATTAAGCCACTCCCGTTTGACTCCCATTAAAACAAAACTCTTTATTTTTCATACTCATTTTCAAATTTCAACCACATATTTACATAGTAACGTAAACCCAAAACTTTTCCATACTTTTTAACCACATATTCTCCAAAAAAAATCACTATTTAAAACATCATTTTCCCCCAATTTCTCTTTATAGTGGCCATCAACACATGGGCGAAGTAGGAAAATCTCATATGTTTCTTAAATTTACGATCTATTCTTATATTTTTGTATGGGATTTATTTTATCCTTAGAAAGGTTTTACTTAGATATTGGTTCTTCACCACTTGATGATCTCTTGATGACAAAACAACATCGGACTTTAATTTATCCATAAATAGTTTCATTTGTTATTTATTTGTTAGTTGTTACTTTTGCTTGAAAGAAGGTAATACAAGAAAAATATTGTTAGACGACTTAATTCTCAAGCATTTTTTTTGTTGTATTTTATGGGTTACTATATTATTCAAAAAGTAGTAGCTGATGTCTATGTGGCTCATTGATTGAGGTTTTGCTTTCCCTTGGTGTGTGCCATATCTGAACTTTTAACCATTTATATCCTGTATGCGTTGTTCAAGAAAATGAATAAAGGAAACTTTTTATGTTACTGATTAATGTAGAGGACAACATACTAAAATACAACGAATGAAGGAACTTTTTGTGTTGCTAATTAATGTAGAGGACAACATACTAAAATACATGTTATTCTTTTCTTCTTTCATGTGCAGTAGTGGCCAGCCTTTGCCAATGTATTTTCAGTTAATATGAGCTTCTGTTTTCCACCTTTTCATTTTTGACTTTTCCGGTGGATTTGTTGGTGAAGACTTCATATCTACATTTTTCTGTAGGTGGAAGCTCGAAAACTTTGATGATTGTTAATGTTTGTCCAAATGCCTCAAACATGTCTGAGACATTGTCATCCCTCAATTTCTCTGCTAGAGCTCGAAATGCTGTGCTGAGCCTTGGGAATCGGGATACGATCAAGAAATGGAAAGATGTTGTAAGTTCTGCAGTATTCCTGTACGATTCATATCAATAGAAACATTGCTTCTTTTCTTTGTCCTCATCATGTAACAATTTATATATCCCCGCTGGAGAGATGGAGGGAGGAGAAAAGATTCTTTGTTAATTATTTTGAAAGCACAAACTTACTCATCTTACATGCCAATAGTTGGATGCTATTTGTGTTTCGACAAATTAATCTAGGCATTTACAATTGTCATGAATTTCTAGTATGCTTTCTGCCTATTTATGGCTTCATGTTCTGTGTGGCAATTGACATGGAGATAAATGTGATGGAAGAATCTTCTAATATCCCTTGTAGGCAAATGATGCACGAAAAGAGTTATATGAAAAGGAAAAGGAAATCAGTGATATGAAGCAAGAAGTTGTGGGTCTAAAACAAGCTTTAAAGCATGCAAATGACCAGTGCGTTTTACTCTTCAATGAAGTTCAGAAAGCATGGAAAGTTTCTTTTACATTGCAGTCGGATTTAAAGGTTTGTGGAATCATGATTTTCTTAGTTGTGTATTCTAAATACTTGTTATGGTCCTTAACACTGTTTTCTTCATATAACTCCTACAGCTTATTTAAACCATTCTCTTGCACCATGCTTAGGTGGCTTTTTAGGGGAAGAAATACTAATACTAGGTTGGCATCTTGCAACAGTTGAAAGAGTTCCTTTATAGGTCTTAAAAGTCCCCCATGGGAAGCTCCTTTTCTTTTTTTTTTCTTTTTCGTTAGTAAAACATCATCAAAGCCTAGGCGGGATTTTTAGGTCTCCATCTAGATCCAATGTGGGGGTTTGGAGTACCCTTACCGTGTTCATTGATATGAAAATGCAGTATAGACGGGAGGGGGACATGGACATTACCTCTAGAGATATAATTGAGGAGAAGAAAATGAGATTAATGAAACCTATAGACGTGGAAGTACTGCTTATTATATAAAGCATTAGTAAAACATTTAAAGCAAAGTAACCAGCAAAAATCATCCTCTAATACGAGGAACCCACCTTACTTCAAGATATATCATACTTCTGATTCGTGGTCTTAGGTCCTGTAATTGAAACTCCTTTAAAGCCTTGTAGACATAATTCCCGTCTCCTTAGATGTGGGATATATGAGTCGAGATCGCTAATTGGCTATGACCTAGTTGGTCTAAAATTCCTTGAAAATGCCACTGTCCTCTTGTTTTATCGGAAGGCACTGAACTGCCAATGTGGAGTCGAACTCAATCCAAATACGTCTACATCCCATCCTTCAAAGTCCGACATAGTAGCTGTACTCCCAGAATGGCTCGTAATTCTCCCTCGAAGTTTGTGCAAGAACCATAATCTATCATGCAATGTCCAACCTGGCTACCTAATTGATGAAAGTCACTAATATGAAAATATTACCTGGAATCACATATTACAATGAATAGACTTGTTAAAAAAAATCAATAAGATGAAACAAAAGAATACTAGTCCAGCATGTTGCAAGATAAAAACTAAACATTTAAATAATTCATGAAATATAATTTATGTGTTATTAATTCAGAAGCCTGTTTGGCCCTCCCTAATTTTGCGTGAAAATACATACCCTTTGTGCTGAAAGATCAGTTCAAATTCTTACATCTTCTGTAGATTATGTACCATTATCTGGTATCTTGTGTATTAGAGCATTCATTGTGTACTTGTGAAGCTGCGTTTCTAATTTGAATTCCATTGTAATCATTACTTTGCCAAGCAAGCTTATGGCGTTTTTATATTGATTGTTCCTTGCAATAAATTCATTTCTTTTTTGCTTAAATTTCCAACAGCATACATATAATAGTCTCCTTCCATTTTGTAATTTTACTGAGAATAATATACTACGTTGACGTGTAAGCTATAATCATTTTTTTTCCAAGCATGAATCCAAGACACATAATGGATAATGCTTCTTTTGAATTCAGTTTCAGAGACAGGGCAATGAAAATCTATGTTGGCCCTTTGTTTAGCTGTTCTTCAGTCTCTAACATATACTGGCTTCTGACAAGAACACTCATGAATTGTTCTCCTTCGATTGATTTAATTTGTTGAATTGTTCAAAACACCACATTAATTGTGCCAGATGATGTTTAAATGTTTTTTTTAAGTACAGCACCCTGACGACTGATTTCCTTCAAAGTCCCCTTTTTCTAACAATATAACCTTGTGTTATGTGGAGCAGTCAGAGAATATTATGCTTGCTGATAAGCATAAAATAGAGAAGGATCAGAATGCACAACTTAGGAATCAAGTTACTCAACTGTTGCAAGTAGAGCAGGACCAGAAATTGCTAATACAACAACGGGATTCAACAATTCAGATTTTACAGGTTGGTACTAAAATCCTATTCTGATCTCCTTTTGTCGGTTTATTGTAGATTTGAATTTGACTTGTACACTTTTCTTGATGATATTTTTTTCCTTTAGTGAATATAATGCTTGTTTTCTTTTGGATTGTTTGGATTTACATTCTTTTTATCTGTCACTGGTTTCTTTTATTGCTAAGTGATGGCTCCAGGAGTTCTAGAATATAGTTAGAAAGTCAAACACAATGTGGTTGAATTATTGTGCTTTCGACATTTTTATCTGTTAATCCTGGTGCGGTCATATGCGAATGTAAGATGTGATGTCGCCTTATCAAAACATTTGAGTTCATACTTTCCTCTGCTCTGGCAATGAAAAAAATCAGGGTAAATTGCAACAAACGTCCCTACCTTTCACTTCTTCTGCAACTTCATCGCGAACCTTTTTTTGGGACAATTGGGTTCGCAACCTTTGATAAATAAACTAGATTCATCCAACTGGATGGTTTCAATCCATTTTTCTGTTAGTCAACAGATTTGACCAGAATATTAAAAAAATTAAACGGGCAAATAATCATTTTATTATTCTAAATTAAAATAATTTAAAAATGAAAAATTTGGAAAGGCCAAAAAAAAAAGGGAATTCAATAAATAAATAAAAACATGTTTGTGAAGTGTTTATAAATGGTTTAGACTATAAATAGATAGAAATGAATGGTGGATAAGTGAATAGTACTTGTAGGTCCCTCGAAATGTCGGGATGATAAGTGGTTTGAGTGTCTATAAACATGGCCAAACATAGGCCACATAAATAAACAAAAAATCACTGTCATCTCCTACCCCACCCCTACCCATCGCCCCACCACTGCCACAGCACCTCTGCCAACCCTTCACCTATTTAATTTTGATTAACAAAATCCCATATCGGCGGACATTAACTAAATAATTAAGGTCGTGTTTGGTTCCCATTAAACTTCTCAAGAAAAAAATGGCAGAAGAAAAAACACCACTGCAACCACCGCCGGCTGCAGAAGCGCAGCTTTTTGGGCCCCTCTCCAATTTTCTCCAGCAGGTCAACCATTCCAGAAGTTAATGAATTATGGTTGTGTAATGATTTTGCTGATATGTGTATTCTCTTTTGATTGATTTTATGCGAAAGAATTTGATTTTTCCTGATCTTGTGATGTGGGATATAATAATAGGGTAAAATTCTTATTTACGATATTCCTCTTTTGACGTATGGTATGTTGAATCTAAATTGAGATACATTTTAAGGATAAATCTGCTTTTACTCAGATTTTTTTGTATGTAAGAATAAATTTTTGCGAACATTATACTAGTTTTTAAATGTTCTTTGTCACTGTGATGTTTGGGGAAACTGATATACATCTTAAAGATAAGCTGTTTATTTCTATTTTCTGATGGCAGTGGTTTGCTGCCAAATATGGCAGAGTTTGATGGCAGAAAAGGGGGGATTTCTCCCCCATGGTTTGCTGCCAAAAATGAGAGGGTAGCAGTGATGGTGTGGCATGATGGAGTTGGGTTTATGGGAGGGTGGGTGGAGGTGTTGGGGTACTGAAAAAAGATGACCTTTTTTCTTTTTAAATTTGTTTATTTTGTTATGAACTTTCTATTTTTCTTTGCTTTTTTTAATATTTTAGTTAAAAATACTGAAAGGACTAATTTGCCCTTTTGAATATTCTGGTTGAACTAACGGAAAAATGGATGTAAACCATCCATTTGGATGAATCCCACTAATTATCAAAGGTTAGGGACTCGGTTGTCCAAAAAAAAAGTTGGGGATGTTTGCTGCTATTAACCCGAAAAATTGTAATTTGCACATCTAATGGAAAGATTGTTGTCATTACCCTTTTGGCGGGTTGTGGACAACTGCATATGCCTGCTGAGGGAACAATGCCTAGAGAATAGTTATTAGCATCAGATGATAATGATCTCTATCAACATGGGCCATCTTTCCTATCAGTGATATTAGTCTTTCAATACATGCTTAATGAATCACTTGACGCTTGCCAGTAAAATAATCAATATAGGATACCATTATGATACCTCAGTTATATCATCAGACAATGGACTTGTACAATTGTTATAATTTTGTGGCTTATGGGTTGATACATGCTTTTGGTTTATTGGAAGGTAATACAGAGGGATTTGTTATAAGAAATTAATCAGATGATCTAGCCTTTTTTTATCTCCCAAGGGTTATTGATTTTTATATTTTGAGCCTATGTTTGAGCCACATTATTTTTCTCATTCTCATTCTTCTACTCATTTTCAATCACACATTCTTCAATAAAATAATATTTTCCATCTCTTATCAAAAAAAAATAAAAAATAATATTTTCCATCACATCAATAAATTTTCCTTCTTTTTCAACCACATATTCCCATGACATCAACAGTAAAAATGCATTCTTACTCCAAAAATGTGCATCAAACATGGGCTGGGCGGAATTCAGATAACATTTTTGTTTATATTATGAAAACTAAATTCCGATGAAGAGATAACTTTACCAAGGAATTGCTGAACTTCACTGATATCAATGCCTCTGTGTAGGAAAAACTGAAGGGCATTGAATCACAACTAAATGAAGCTCTTTTTTCAACTGAGAAAAAGTCAACAAATGGCTCAGAATCGAGAACATTGGTGCAAACTACCAAAACAACAGTGGATGACATGGATTCTGCTGCAGTTACCAAGAGACTTGAGGAGGAACTCAAGAAACGTGACACCCTTATTGAGGTACTGCAGTGTATTGATCTTATATGAGGGGTGCTTCTATATTGGTGGTCACTATGCTTTAAAATATTTATACTCTGTGCCTTTGTTTTCAACATTTGCTTTAATTGAAAGAAAACTTAGACATCCAACCATCTTTGTTGGCAATAAATTGTCCTTGTACTGATATTTATGTTTATTTTCTTTCGCAGAGATTGCATGAAGAAAATGAGAAATTATTTGACAGATTGACAGAAAAAGCTTCATTAGCTGGAACACCTCAGGTTCATCATCGATCTTCTTGAATATCTGTTGTGGGTTATGACAGTTGTTAACTTGGGTCTGGTCTTTGTTTCTTTGTTGAAAATGTTTATATCTGTATGCTATCTTAATATACATATTAGTTTAGTGTTTGTGGTTTGAGTTTCAAATTTAGATTTGGTACGTGTGCATCTCACTTGCATGAACTTTACTCTTAGGTGTCAAGTCCATCTCCCAAAGGACAAGCTATTCAGTCTCGAGAAGTGGGAAGGTTCATTTCTGTTACCGTTTCCCAATAACTAATTCTGTTTTCCCATATTTTACTTCATTTATGGTTAAGAAGGGTTCTCTTCGATTTTTCTTGACAGGACTGATAGTACTAATGTTAAAGGACCTTCTGGTGAGACAGAGGGCACAGTTGCTTTGGTTAAATCTGGTCCTGAGAGGGTGAAAACGACCCCAGCTGGTGAATATCTTACTTCTGCCCTTAATGATTTTGATCCAGAACAATACGACAGTCTTGCTGCCATTTCAGATGGTGCTAACAAGCTTTTGATGCTGGTATGGATGTTTATTCATTTCTTCATGCTTCTAGATATAGAACTATTTCAGTCATTTGAAATCTGTTAGTTTTTTAGATGCTATTGTGATGCTCTGTTATGAATAGTGGTCGACATTCAATTTTTATTAGGGTGTGTTATCCCTTCGATGGTGGTTGTATTTTATGTGCATAGCTTGTTCTTATATATGCATTTATTTTCTTCCTGACCTTACCCAATATATGCCATGAATTAATATGTAGAACTACTGGAAATCTACAAAAATTAAACTAAAATAAATGCTGCTTCAATCCATTTAGACCAATGGACAAAAAATTTCATGACTTGGTAAGTTGGGTGAATTTGAGTTTCATTAAATCGGGTAGCTTACAAGTAGAAGAACCTATTAAGGCAGACTAGAAGAAATATATTGTGATTCTGAGTGCTCTTTGTAGCAAATAACTGTATCCTAGGTTGCTTTAGACAGGTGTGATTGCCCATGTTATATTTTTGGTCTTCATTTCCCAGATTTAGCGAGAAGTGTTTTTTGGGTATCCAGTATACCTTTCTTGATGGTTGTCTAATGTCTAAACACGCGAGATAAACCAATATGGCTAGACTTGACTTTTTCTCTCACTCTGGATTCTTTTTTCATAGCTATCATTATATACTTGGTTCATACTTATTTTATTTCATGAACTTTATCTTTCCTCAAAACCATGTGATATGTAATTTGGCAGGTTTTAGCTGCGGTAATCAAGGCAGGTGCTTCTAGAGAGCATGAAATACTTGCTGAAATAAGAGATGCTGTTTTTGCTTTTATTCGTAAAATGGAGCCAAAGAGGGTGATGGATACCATGCTTATTTCACGTGTTAGGATTTTGTATATAAGGTCTCTGCTTGCTCGGTCACCAGAGCTACAATCAATTAAGGTACTGAAAACTTTTGCCATCGTATTAACAGGTGTTAAGACCTAAAAGGCATTCGATATTTTGGCGAGATAATTCTTTTTGTTATTAGGTTTCTCCTGTTGAGCGCTTTCTGGAGAAGACTACTAATGGACGCAGCAGAAGCTCTAGTCGTGGGAGTAGCCCTGGAAGATCTCCAGTGAGATATGATTCTATCACGAGGAATTCACTGATTGAGGAACAGATTCAAGGGTTCAAAGTAAATCTAAAGCCAGAAAAGAAGTCAAAGTTGTCGTCAGTGGTTTTGAAAATACGCGGCATTGATCAGGTGACTTGAATGATATTTTCCCTTATCACACAAAACATCGTAATTTTTGTTCTCTCATTTACTTTTTCATCTATACCTTTTTATTGCCAACTGGGCTTAAATGCATAAATTTTTTGACCCTCTTATAACTTACTCTAGAAGAGGCAATGAAACCAGAAATATGACGTAACATGGGATGGACTAAGTTGCATAAAAACTTCGTATGCAAGCTATCATACAACAAATTGATACACACCGAGATTATGAAACTCTTTTTATGACAAATATGGAAGGCAACCTCGAAAAAAGATGAGCTTGACTTGGTCCAATTGTAAAACCTTAACATGTAGGTTTTCCATTTAATTCTGCATGCCATATCTGCATATTCCTTTAAGGAGCGATTCAAAAGAATCAGTTTCATATGAGAATCAACATATTAGATCTCGTTCAACAAAATATGAACTGAGAGCAATATTACTAAAGTTTAAGATTGAGAAATCTGAATAGGATGAACTGAAACTATTGATTCAAGTATGGTGGTGATGATAAAATTGCTCCATAAAAAATATTCAATAATCAAATGCCAGGTGTAATGAAGTAATTAGTCAGAACTTAAAAAAAGATGGCCCTGCTATTTATGGTGATTAAGCTAAACTAATCCTAAACAACTACCAAAGAACCTTTTTCTGCACTTCTCAAACTTAATGTAATTTCTTTCCAAATACTGGTAGTACTACTGTTCACCTATTTGTTTCCGTAAAGAACAACCCTTCAGCCCTTTGAGGAGATGGCACTTCTCTCAGGACTTTTACAACTCAGAACAAGTTGTTTGAGAGAGTAAAGATATCAAAAACATATTTAAGGAACATCAGCAATAGGTTTCGACTGGTTGACTGACCAAGATGTCGTACGTGTTATATGCTTGTTACAAGCTTAATCCGCACTTCTTTGAATCATCCAAAGACCAAAAGATTTTCTATGCACCTAGCGAAAACTTTAATCATATAGGACTATGGCAATCTACATTCTAAAGTTTTACTATTTTCGATAAATAAGTTTTTGAGAAGCAATCTATTTAGCATAAAGAATAAGATGCCAGAGCTTATGATGGTCTGCCACTGGAATCCCTTTGTGTTTACTTTATATTTCACATACTTCTAATCTTTGCCACTAGCATTTTATGACATTGAACAAACTTTGAGGTTTGGAGCTTAGTAATCGTCATTTATGCTTCAATTCTCCAAACTTACATTGTAAATATTATGCATGCTTGTTCTTATAGCCGATCAATCTTTAACACTTACTAATATGGTTTGTTGTCACTTAGAAGTTGCAATGAATGGCTTTAGCAGTCTTCTATATGCCCTCTGTATATTTATCAGTATTTTCCTGTTTTGCCATGTATTAGTGACCCGTACACTTTTAGTGATTTATGTGCCCCTTGGACTACAATGCACAGGAAACATGGAGACAGCATGTAACGGGTGGAAAACTGAGGGAAATTACCGAGGAAGCAAAAAGTTTTGCAGTTGGAAACAAGGCTCTTGCAGCTCTTTTTGTTCATACTCCGGCTGGTGAGCTCCAGCGTCAAATCAGAAATTGGCTTGCAGAGAACTTTGATTTTCTTTCCATTACTGATGATGGAGTAGGGGGAGCAACTGGTCAGCTGGAGCTTCTATCTACAGCAATAATGGATGGTTGGATGGCTGGACTGGGTGCTGCACAACCTCCTCATACTGATGCTCTTGGGCAGCTTTTATCTGAGTATGCAAGGCGTGTTTATACTTCTCAATTACAACACTTAAGGGTATGTTCTACAGTTTCAGTGTGCCACACTGTTGTCATAGGATTGTCCTCGTTTGTCTGTTGGCTGTCCTTCAAGATGTGTTGAACTTATATACTTAGTATTTGTTATTTCTGCCACACAATTCAAATTTTTAATAGAGTCATTTTGTGGCTATTGAGACTGCATTAATTACATTGTTATGTTTATCAAACTTTGCAACTTGCTCCTCTGGAACCAATGCTCTTGGGAAGCTTTTATGTCTCAACGATCCAAAACCATCAATGTAGGATGCCTCAAAAAGTAAAGGATTTTCTCAAAAGATTGATTGAATAAACCTTTGAGAAACTGTTCATCTGTAAACTTCGTAAATTGAAGTTTCTAGTGATGCTCTTCATAAATTTTTTAGCTTTAATGACTTCCAGTTAGGTACTTTCATCCTCATTTTGCTTGCGGTGAATGGTGGTCTTATTCTGTTCTATACTCTGCCTATTTGTTCAGTATCAATTTGCATGTTTAGTTTCTTTCAATACTGAACAAGGTGTATTTTCTGTTTGTATCGTATGATGTCCATGGTTGTCTAAAGATTTAAAATCTTCATTTGCTTCTTATTTTTCCTGTGAAAACTGAAGGCAATGTTTAGTTAAGCTTCTGGAAACTAGTTTCTGTCATTATACTTCTATACTTCTATAATATTACTAATATTATGCTTGTCTTTATCAGGATATTTCAGGTACCTTGGCAGCCGAAGTGGCAGAAGACTCTGCACAAGTAGCTAAGCTACGTGGAGCTCTGGAGTCTGTGGATCACAAGAGAAGGAAGGTCAGAGTTAGAGTCTTACAGCTTTCTTTGCTTTTGCTTGTCCACCCTCCTTTTCTCCGTCTTGTGTTTGTCCATGTAAAATACAAAACTAACCATTGACTCCATTTTTTTTTGTTTTTGGACCTCTAATTTCTACTTATATTTTTTCAAATCACCGTGCTTCCCAAGTAAAAGAAACTGATTTAGAGTATCGAAAATAATAACCGTCCTAAGAAAAATTTTCCCTTGTTAAATAGTCAAACTGTTGGCTATTTTTATTAATTATTTTTACAATTAGAAGTATCTAAATAAAAATATTTTATAATCCCTTCCCCATTGTTCTTTGTATATAGTTTTATTTTTTTGATAGAAATACATTACTGGTTTTGAATCTTTTACAAAAAAATGTTGATAATTAGTTGCTTTTACTGTTTTAGAGCAACAGAATCGAACAATAGTTCCTTTGAGAAGGACTGTGATCTATACCTTTATGTTTCAAAGAAGAAAAGGCTAAAAAGGAATAATTGACTGCCTATGAAAGTTCCGTTGGTTGAAAAGTGAGATTCCCAGGTCCTGTAAATGTTGAATCTTCAAGTTCAACAGATTTTCATTTCACAGGTTAGGAGCATCTCGAGTACATGTGAGATGCTGAAATTCATCTCTGCTGAGCTTCTGCACCCTTCCAATTTACCAACACTCATTCTTCAGCTTGAAAGATGATTCAGTATAGCATTTGCTACATAGTTGACTAGGCCATTTAGAGGGTGTTATTAGACTTTTATGAAAAAAGACCATATATTCATACCTTATTGGAAGAGCTTTTCTTATTTCTGTAGAACCCCGGCCTATAGGAAGGATTTGAAATCTATCCTTCAGCATTTTAGCCCAGTGTATTACACGTTTGAGTTTCTGGTGTTGTTTCAAGTTGCTACCCTTTTGTGCTTCTACCGGAAACTGTATTAGTGAAAAAATTGCATGTTATAGTTCCTGAAAATGTGAAGGCATTTGATCAATTGATTATGGTGTACCAGACAAGTTTTAGAATGAAAATGTTGTTTGTGGTAGTGCAGTACCATAAGAAGTTTGTGCTAGCTTATGCTTGGGGTGGTGGTGAACTTGCATCAGCTGTGGACACATGGCTTGAAATTGATATAAGTGACATATTAGTTTTGATTATGCTAAAAAGTTTTTGAGCGCATTATATTGTTGGAAATGTCTTTGACTGCAAAAGGCATCGTGCAAGATTAGTTGATGTCATAAGCAGCATAAATATGATATGGCTCAAGGAAACATAGAAATTTCTCTTATGGTCTTCTAATTTCAGTTGGTTGGTTAGAAAAGTACAGTCAATTAATACCGTGCAATGAAACTATTCATTTTTACTCTGAAGCGATCGCCACTGATATTGGTGATTGATTGCTTGACTGGATCAAACTATAATATGTTGCTAATGCTCAGTTTGTAGGCTGAGAGATGGTTGCGAAAATGTGAATCGTATGATCATGATTAAATTATTTACTTGTCACACTGGTTTATTTGTTTCAATCATCAGATTTTGCAACAAATGAGAAGTGATGCCGCAATGTTGAATTTGGAAGATAGTGCTTCACCTATTCGGAATCCTTCTACTGCTGCTGAGGATGCAAGACTGGCATCATTAATTTCCTTGGATTCCATACTGAAGCAAGTCAAGGTTTTCACCTTTCTCTATGATTCTATCCATGTAGTTGCTGAAAAGCAGGTTTTATGTGGACCAGGTAACAAGTAAATGAAATGTTCTTTTTAATTTTAATACTTCAATAGGATATATTGAAGCAATGCTCAGCGAAGGTTCTCAGTAAGAGTAAGAAGAAATCAACACTTGCCTCTCTTGATGAACTTGCTGAACGGATGCCATCCTTGCTTGACATTGATCATCCTTGTGCACAGAGGCATATCGCTGAAGCTAGACATGCCCTAGAGGTAGCGTAAACTACAAGAATTACCCCGTTTGGTGGAGATTAAAATTTGATTTTTAGTAGATTTTGATAAAAGTTGATGAAATGTGTAAGTTGTGGTTCCCATGAAATGTGTGAATAAAATTAAATGTTCACTTTGATTTGAGATTTTAATTGGATTTTAATCCAAAACAAACAGGGGCTTAAGATTATCATTTGTCCGACTCTATTGGCATTTGGTTAGATTTGTAGAACCATATAATTTTGTGAAAGGAAGTGAGATCCTGTAGCTATCCTATTGGTAAGGAGTGCTGATGTTTATGATCTTTGAAGATGAGAATTGGAGAAGTTATAATCTTCTTTACTTTGAAATTACCCCTCGGGGTTTTTATATAACTGGGGTTTGTCTCAGGATTGAGTCGATAATAGACGTTCCAACCTTTAGTAAAATCACATTCTATGCTTAGTGGCTCATTGAAAAGCAATCATATCTGATATTTTAACCATTTACCAAAATGCTAAGAAATTCAATAAATTAATGCAGTGAGGAAACTTTTGGGCGTTAAGAACCCCATTTTTATACGAAAGATGTTTGCTTATCTTGGTGCCATCCCCAAGTTACTCTGTTTAGGAAATAGGAGGGACATTATTTTTTGTGTTCAATAGAGGATCTGTCAATACTGTGTACATGTTGGAGTAATATGCTGGTCTTAATGCCTAGAATGTTGGCTAAACTTCTGATAGATTCTCACTGCTACACATATCTGATATTCTTGTTGTGATGCAGTCAACTTCTGAAGAGGATGACCAGCTTCATGACACTGCACATGCTCGCAAACTTTCTGGAGACATGGCATATGGTGCTGAAACCGACGTGGCGCAGTGGAATGTTTTACAGTTCAACACTGGTTCAACAACTCCATTCATCATCAAATGCGGAGCCAATTCAAATTCCGAATTGGTCATTAAAGCTGATGCACGGGTTCAGGAACCTAAAGGTGGGGAAATTGTTATGGTCGTTCCAAGACCAACCGTTCTGGAAAATATGAGCCTGGAGGAGATGAAAGAAGTATTCTCGCAACTCCCGGAGGCTCTAAGTTTACTTGCTCTTGCAAGGACTGCAGATGGAACCCGAGCTCGGTACTCTAGATTGTATAGGACTCTTGCCATGAAGGTTCCTGCTCTGAGGGACCTCGTTGGTGAACTTGAGAAGGGGGGAGTACTGAAGGATGTGAAATCATAAGAGCAAATTAGTTGGGAGGGGAAATTTGTACACCTCATTTCCAATTATCTCTCACACAATATGCATTTTTTAGCTTGTCTTATAAATTCCGGCTTATATGTTTTTTGTGTATTCTGTCACATGAGCAGCAGATCTTTTGAACCATTGTGCTTGGTTACAATGCATTTGTACTGATCAGTGACTGTTCCCAGTATCACTAATTTAGTGGTTGTACATACTATTTATAAAGCGTGTTCAAACTAGATATCATCTCTCTCTTTGCTCCCGAACCTCTCTTTTTTCTCGTAGCATTAGTGTTTTAAGCTCGATGAAATCAGTTGCCATTGTCAATTAAATTTTTGAAACTGAACGGTAGTGTATGGGATTGGTGCATTTTCTGTTTTTATGGCGTTCACTGGAAAAAGAAAAAAGGTGAATTATTGTCATTCTGTACAAATTATTTGACAAATGAATACGAAATTAGTATGTCTGTGTGCCAACAAGACTTCCTTGTGTTGGTATTATAGAGGGAGAAAAATTACAATAGGGTGACAATGTCCTTGGGAGTGGGGACACTGGATTAGCAGATGTGGGGTGTTATATATTGAGATGTACTTTTGAAGTTTTGAGACTAAACGATTAGCAGATGTGGGGTGTTATATATTGAGATGTACTTCTGTAGTTTTGAGAGAACGAATGCAAGTTGTAACATGAAGACAATTTAAATCATGGATAACTGTTGAACGAGACACCGAGAAAGGAGAAGGGCAGGTGGTGGGAATTTGAGAAAGTCTGGCCGATCGGGTATTTTCATTCAGCGAAATAACGAAATGAAATTAGAGGTTGAGGGTCATGGAAAAAAGTTGATTCGATCAGGCTCATTCTTGGCTTATATTCACACAGGCCACTTACAAAAATATGACATTCAACTCTCTAAAACACGTGTAATTGAGAGAGTTGGAATATTAGTGCGATTTGTGTGAGTTCAAAATATGGATAGTGGGGATTTACAAAGGAACAATAGGGTCGAAAGTATCTACAGTATGTTGGTTTGACACCACTTCAAGGTAATTGTTACAATGACATTTAAACAATCTCGTATGTAAACAATCGTGTATGTAATTTTCTTGTGTTTATGTTGTGGTGACTTTTGATGGTCATGATGGCGTTGATATCAAGATGGTGATATAAAATTACACAATATAACACGGCCTATCTTATATGTAATTAACATGGCCTCCCATTAGCTCGATAGTATCAATATGATTGTGGATGCAATGAGAAACATGGAATTCTAGCAAAGTCTACTTACATTGTTGTAATTTTCTTTTTTTAAACCTTAGTAATTCATTACCACCCCTCATGACCACCATCGATGTCACAACTACCCCATCACCACCAACGATCACCTCATCAACACCAACAATTATTCATCAACACAAGAAAATTACATATATCTCCGTTATCTTGCATGTAATTTTTATGTATTGTAACTAAATAACCCACGCACCACCACCACCCACCACCATGAATATCTCCACCATAAACCACCACCTCGTAACCTTATACGACCACAAACACGAGTAAATATGTACCATCACGCCACAAACACTACCATTGATGCCCGCCACAAGTGATCACAGAAACGAATCGCCATATGTCATGAACCATGACAAAACCACCACCAATACAACCAAATACACCAACAACAAATCACATAAACAAAAATTATCCAAGCAAATTCTGGTGGTTTCAGAACCACAACATGGTGGTGGCATGTGGTGTAGGGAATCAACATGGTGGTGACTCCGTGCAGTTTCAACATTGATGAGTGTAAATCACTCATTGAACTAATACCTTTAAAACATAGTTTTCGACTTGTTCTTGAGCACTTTTGAGCATTTTGATGTGTTTGTTCATGTTGTTTTGTAGGTTAGATACATAGAAGAAAATAGCATATTTTGGAGCTTGGGATGGAGCTACGTGTGATCATAAAAGTGGACTTGAAGAGGAGGTGAAACAAAGAAAAAAAATGAAGTGAAAAAGAGGCGAAGACGGAGGCAAATAAATAAGGGCAGAGACTTGGGCGCCACAATTGGCAGCCTAGAAACACAAAAAATGCAGAGAGCTGGGCGCCGTGGTGCCAGCTACAGCGCCCAGCTTGAAAATACTGACAAAAGACGTGGCGCTACGGCGCCGGTACTGGGCACCGCCTCCCGAGATTAAGAAATAGTTATTTTTTATAATTTTTTCGGCCTAACCCACTCCAATCCGTGTTGATATCTTAAGAGGCTATAAATACAAATTGGAAGACCTAATTCAAGGAGAGAAAAAGGGCTTAGGAGAAAAGAAAAATGAGCAATCATCAAGAGCAAAAACGACAACGAATTGGAGAAGAATTCAAGCGACAAATCAATTTTTCTTATTCTCTTTTCTTCTCTATGCTCTTTAGTTTAGAATTTAATATGTCGTTTGTAGTCATGAACGAATTTCAATATCTAGGGTTTGATGTAACTAAACTTGAGACATGTTTGGATTCTATTATAGTTAATTCATTTGATTTTTTCGTTAATTTATTTGTGTTAATTCTTGCACATTGCTTTCAATTACCTATTCAATAATTGAATGATCTGATGTCCTAAATTTCGGTACTCGAGAGATGAAAATATAGGCGCGATCTAAGAATAACATAACCTATAAAATTATAGTTTTGGAGAGAAAGTATAGTTCCTTTGATGCTTATTTCATTTAAGAATCCTGCGCATATAATTTCTATAGCGTTAATTCGAAATGGAAATATTGGAATTAACCGTTTGATCTACATTATTATCTCATTAAAATGAAAAATATGACCGTTATCCATCACATCAACATTTAAATTCAAATTTTCTATCTCTTATGTGGGTCCCAATAATGACTATATTTTTCATTCTCATTCTACAATAATTTGGCTTAAACAGGGCCAAATTATAGAAATATGTTCTATTTAGCACTCGATAGAGGAAATAAAATTTAACCTAAGATTCTTGCGTATGAATTCAGAAAAAAATGATAGAAGTAACTATAGAAATTGAAAGACATTATTGATAGTGATGTGAAATCAATTCCTAGACTTTCTCACATTGATAATTCTCTTATATTTCTTTTCATTTCATTTGAATTGTTACACATTCATATTATTTTAAGATAAAAACATTGACTGGAGATTTAATTTTTCTAGATAAAGTAAAAGCTGAAATAATTTTAATATTTGGTAGGAATTAAATTACAATATCTGTGGGCTCTACCACTATATTACAAAATTTGACACCGTACATTTGCGGCATAAATCACGGTATAGAAAACGCGCGAGAAACATCGACACCTATTACTAAACAAAAGGTTTGAATCTAATTTTTAACATTTTCGACTATAAAAAATAAAAAAAGAAGAATAAATCTTCAACATGGTAGCGGTGTGTGTTTAATTGTAATAACACCTAATTTTTTTATTAATATTTTATAAATACATAATTTCTGAACTTTTATAAAGAAAAACAGTTTTGAGCTTCCTCCTTC